CCAGTTAGTGGAGTGGGTGGATAGGTGGCAGATGAAATTCAATGTGGACAAGTATGAGTTGATAGAAATTGGTACAACAAACATGGACTGACAGTATAAAATTAAGGGCACTGTTTTAAAGGTTGTGCAGGAGCACAGAGACATCGGTGTACATATACTTAAGTCATTAAAGATGGCAGGACAGGTAGAGAGAGTAGTTACTAAAGCATACAGTATTCTAGGCTTCATAAAAAGGGGCATAGAGTACCAGAGTAGAAAAGTTACGTTGAACTTGTATGAGACATTGGTCAGGCCTCAGCTGGAGTATCGTGACATTTCTGGGCATCAGACTTTAGGAACAATGTGAACCTTTTAGAGACATTGTTGAAGAGTTTGATGAGAATGGTTCCAGGATGAGAAATCGCAGAAATGGAGGTAGACTGAGGAAGTTGGAACTGCACTTTTGTTGGAGTGCAGAAGGCCACGAGGCGAGCCGCTAGAACTTTGCGAACTTATTAGGGGTGTGGCCAGAATAGATATAGGGAATGTTCTTGTTCCTAAGAGGATGAGAGGGCACTTTAAAGTAAAAGAAGCAAATGCAAGGGGAGATATAATTTTTGACTTACAGCGAATGTTGAGGCTGGAATGTACTGGAGCAGGTTTGAGGCATACAACAGAGCATTAGATGATTATTTAAATAGAAACAACATGCAAGTTTATGCAGAAAAGACAAGAGATTTGTACCAAGTCAGAAGGCTAGAAGAGCCACTGCAGGCAAAGTGGGCTGAATGGCCTCTTTCAGCACAATTAACAATTCTATCATCTTTCCAAATTGTCATACACATGCTTTTATACAGCTTTGTTTTCTCCATTTTGTTTTGTGTAATATGCTTGTGCTTTTCTGTTAAAATGATATCGGCACCGTCATGTGATTGTTCCACCATGTAACCACCATGGTAACCAAATTGCAAGAATTAAATATATGATCTATCAAGCAAGGTTCCACTCTGGGATCTGACTTGCCCAGCATTACCATTAGCTGGGATCTTTATACATCCTGAAGGAAAACAGAAACACAAGCTTTTATTCCCCCCATTCCTAGTTGCCCTTGAGAAGGTAGTGGTGAGTTGCCTTCTTGAACCACTGCAGTCCAAGTGTTGTAGATAGACCCACAATGCTGTTAGGAGGGAGGTCTCAGATTTTGACATGGTGACAGTGAAGGAACAGTGACATATTTCCAAGTCAGGACGGTGAGTGGCTTGGAGGGGAACTTGCAGGTAGTGGTGCTCCCATGTACTTGCTACTTTTGTTCTTCTATATGGAAGTGGTCATGAGTTTGGAATAATCTTACAGATACTCAAAGTTCAGTTTCTACTTTGAAGGTCCTTGGTCAAGGATATGGTTTCCACATGGCATGTCCACATTCACTCAAAGATATCTTCTTTAATTAATGTCTATTTCTGAGATTCTGAAACAAAGCTCCCTCGCCTAACTTGTCTTCCCTGAACTCATGAATTCTACAGCCTTGTAGGATGTCTTCCTCTCTTGACATCTTAAAGCCTTCTTTCTCTACAGCTTTTATCTTACTAGCATCTAAGTCACTTAGGATTCCTTTCCTTCTAACCTGACTCTTTTTGAAACTTTTACCTGCACCGTAAGTGTTACTTACAGGTCCTTTCTCTCCAGGTAACAGGTTTGTCTTGAAAATTACAACAATTACTTACCTTCTGGATGGTCTGTTTCTCTTTCTAAAAGTGAACATATTTATGTTCTAAAAAGACACCTGCCCTGTTTATCTCCCTCTTTAATCCTTGTTTTCTAAAACAATGAAAGATTCACACCAAGGGATTTTTGAAAAGACTTCATTTAAACACATGTAAACAAATTCCAGCCAACCCAACACCACACAGAATTCAAGATCTAAAATGCAATAAAAATTGTGTTTTCTATTTTCTTAAAATGCACAATATAGACTACAACCACAATCTGTAACCTCACGGATGCCAGCCTTCAATCAAATATATTCACTCTGTGACATCAAGAAATAGTTGGGAACACTGCATACTGCAATGGCCATGGGGTCTGACAAGAGTCAGGTAATAGTACTAAAGCTTGCAGAGAACAAATTCTGCTCCTAGCAAAGTCGTTTCCACACAACAACAACACTGGCAGGTACCTGATAATGTGGAAAACTGTCCAAGTTTGTCCTGTACACAAAGTAGGCCAAATTCAACTTGGTCCATTACCACCCTATTAGTCTACAATCCAACATCATCAAAATGATGGAAGAGGTTGTCAACAGCAAAATTATGCAGAATTTGCAAAAGAACAACCTGCTCAGTTTTTGTTCTACCAGGGCCACTTACCTCCTGGCCTCATTACAGTCTTCATTCAAACAGGGGCTAATGGGGTTGAATTCCAGCATTGAGGTGAGGATAACAGCCCTTGACATTAAGACTGCATTTGGCTGAGAGCAGCATCAAGACTCCCTGGAAATCACTAGGAATCAGGGATTAAACTCTCTGCTGGTTGAAGTCATACCTAGCTCAAAGAAAGAGTGTGGTTGTTGGAGGTCAACCATCTCATGCCCGAGACATCTCTGCAGGAGTTCCTCACGGGAGTGTCCTAGAACCAACTATCTTCAACTTCCCTCAAACATAAGGTGAGGATGTTCAATCATGACTGCACAATGTTCAGCATCATTCGCAACTCCTCAGATACTAAAGACGACTCCACACACAGCAAGACCTGGACAACATCCAGGGCTCTGCTGATAAGTGGCAAGTAACATCCACACCACTTGCCAGGAAATGACCGTCTTTAACAAGAGAGAACTAACAAACATCCTTTGATGTTCAATGGCATTACCATCACTGAATTCCCCCAATATCAACATTGACCAGAAACTGAACTAGACTAGCCATATAAGTATTATGGCTACAAAAGCAAGTTAAAGACTGGGAATTCTGCAGCAATTAACTTACCTCCCATTTCCCCAACGCCTGTCCACTATCTGTAAGGCACAAATCAGGAGTATGATGGAACACTCCCCATTTGCCTGGATGAGTGTAGCTCCAACAACACTCAAGAAGCTTGACACTTACCAGGACAATGCAGCCTGCTTGACTGGTACCCCATCCATGAACATCAACATTCACCTCCTCTACCATTGATGCACAGTGACAGCAGTTTGTACCATCCACAAGATGCACTGCTTAAATTCACCAAGATTTCTTAGACAGCGACAAACCCACAATCATTACCACCTAGAAGGACAAGCAGCAGATACACAGGAACACCACTAGCTTGCAAGCCACATTCCATCTGGACTTGGAAATATACCATTTCTTCAGTGTCACTGGGTCAAAATCATGGACCTCACGGTCTATAGACATTGTGGGTCTACTTGCAGCACGTGGACTGCGGCAGTTGAAGAGGGCAGCTCTGCACCATCTTCTCGAGGACAATTAGGGATGGGCAATAAATGCTGGCCCATGCAAGTGGCACCTACACCCCATGAACACATGGTAAACAAAAATCAAACTTAGTTATACATGGTTCCGTAGTACCTAAATTTCCAAACAATAATAACATGAACCTTCATCACAATACGGGTCAGTGCTCGAAAATGAAATTAGGTTGGTAGTTCATTTTTTTGTTTTGTGCCATAACTTTTTTCTTTGTGCGTGTGTGTGTGTGTGTGTGTGTGTGTTGAGCTGTATTAAGTCTAAGATTCTAAACAATAAAAAAAATACAAAATGTACATGGTGTAAAGCTAAATTCAATCATGGGATAAACCCAAAGATGTTGATAGAGCTCTGTAATTGTGTTGTTTGTGCACATTTCATCCTTTGCTTCTTTCAATTTAACATGTAGAAAGAAGAAACTGCACAAATACAACTCGACAAATACCTCTATAAATTTAAATTATGTCGAACAGAGTGAGACCTGCCAATATTATCTTTCTTGCAGAAGCATCTATGAATATTAGCGTGAACAGCTGCTTATCTCACAAGAATGAATTGCATCTAGCTGTGCCAAACTCAGTGTGGAAGAAAATAACTTATTCTTTAAGGTAGGAAAATTGTTGCAGCCAATTTTTACACAAGACCTGAATACTAAATGCACAGAAGTGAATTATCAAACAGGCAAGGTACCAGAAAATTCCTGTCAAGAATTAAAATTAACTTTAATCAGTACCTTCTCTGGCTGTACAGACTATACAGCACTTTCCTGCGGAGTAGATCACTTGATTCAACTGTGTCAGAGTGAAACGCCTCTCCTTTTACAGAATCTTAACTGTGAAATAGATGCTGGTCTTTTTGTTAAGAAACATGACCTGTAGTAGCTATCAATTCCAATGCAACCAGATTATTAAAATGAATTCAACTAGTAGCATGCTTTGTTTAAAATTTATGTTAATGTTAGGTGTTCACTCCCCTGTAATTCATTCACAGAGTGTGGCAGTCACAGGCCAACATTTACTGCCCACCCCATTCCTTAAGAGTCAGCCACATTCCCTAGGGTCAGGAGACACGTGTAAGCTAAACCAGGCAAGGATTGCAGGCTTAGTAAGAACTGCCAATGCTGGAGTCTGAGATAACAAAGTGTGGAGCTGGAGGAACACAGCAGGCCAGGCAGCAGCAGTGGAGCAGAAAAGCTGACGTTTCGGGTCGGGACCCTTCTTCAGAAAAAAGGGTCCCAACCTGAAACGTCAGCTTTCCTGCTCCTCTGATGCTGCCTGACCTACTAAGGATAGCAGGTTTCCTTCCCTAAAGGATATTAGGATATTAATTTTTAACAACAATCGACAGTGGTTACATGGTTGTCACTAGGCCAGCTTTTTATTCCAGATTTTCATTGAATTGCCATCTGCCAAGGTGGGATTCAAACTTGTGTCTCTGGGAGATTGGCCCTGAGGTTCTGGTTTGCTAGTCCAGTGAAAGTTCACTATGCCACCACTTTCCTTTATCTTATGTGTATGCATTTTATACGTATTTAAAGATTAAAAAGCTACGTACCAACAAATGCAGGAATGGTTACTGACTGACCGTAGTTTGCTCTCATAATAGCCGTGACTACTTCATCAATGAAGCGCTGTGAGATTCCTAATTCTTGCAGAGTCTCTGCCACAGGTCGCCGTGTCATGTTAACGAAACGGTCCCCACCCAATGACTGCAGCATTTCTTCCATTGTGCTGAAGGCATAGCCATGGGCCTGGTACTTGTAGATCCTACCACACAATGACAAGACAAGGTCAAGCATTTCTTTTAATCACCACTCCTCCTTTTTCACTTCTTCAGAAAATTGTTGCTTATTGATTGCCAAGCATTAAAAGGAACTAACATACAAACATCTGAAAAAAAACGCAACGTTTCTTCCATCAGCTGCCAAGAGATACCCAGTGTTTTAAAAATCTCATTCACAATAATTATTTCAATCAAGGCTAGTAACTTGCTAGTCTATGCCACATGGAAAGAAGCCATTTTTTTGTAGCAAATGTCTAAAACATTTACTGAGCTCAGCACTGCTATTAAATAGCAATTCAGACTATCTGCTTAAAACATTAGTCTTTTGACTGAGGCACTGAAGAACATAACCAACGCCTGTTGTCCTCAGGGCAGCATGGGAATGGAAGAAAGTTAAGTGCAGGAAGGAAAGAAAAGCAGTTCCAGTCAGACACAGCATTTGCTTCCTCTACCACATCTGAGGTTACACAAGGAAACAGCTGTCAATTCACAATCACAACTTTACAGGTTTGATTTTGGGCAAATAACTTTTCTTTCAACATTTTAGGGAAGTACCTAGCATTCACTTAGCACCTCTCTCATAACATGGGCAACTACACAATTTAATGAGGTTGTGGACATGTCTCTGAATGATAGCACAAGGCAACAGGCCTACTTGGAATGGGGGAGGGAACAATCAGCAAATTCTAAGCTGCCCCAAACCAAAAAGAACTCAGCAAAACATTTGGTCAAACTGTTCTGGATCCTTCTTCCCACCCTGAAACTCAGATGCACGTCACTCTTTTTCAAGCCACATACATCAGATGAGACCAGATGTGCCAGTGCTGATGATACGAGAGATCTGAGGTGTTGGAGTAGATCTGTAGCTCGGGTTGTGGGTGTTGAGGTTGGTTGGCTCGCCGAGCTGGTTTTTTGTTTTGCAGACGTTTCGTTACCATGCTTGGTAACATCCTCAGTGCAGCCTCCGATGAAGCAGTGTGTCTTCCCGCCTGGTTTTTAAATTCTGGGGTCCGTTGAGATGGATTTCCTCACAAAGTTTAAAAACCAGGCGGGAAAACACACCGGTGCTTCATCGGAGGCTGCACTGAGGATGTTACCAAGCATGGTAACGAAACGTCTGCAAAACAAGAAACCAGCTCAGCGAGCTAACCAACCTCGATACAAGAGATTTTAATAATGGACCTAGCAGCCAACATCCATTGCAACCTAAGGAGCCCCATTACTGGTCCCTCTTTATGCAGATTGCCTTGTTAAGTCAGGTTAGGGCTCCTTCACCATAAGGCTAAACAGGAAACATTCCCACGAGACTGGGATTTAACACATTTGGGGGTGATTGCTGCTAACCGTACCATGGGCATTCACCAGAGCAACTGTGGATTTTTAGAGCCAACATATTTTGCTTATAGAAGTCATGCTTTGGTTCATTATATCTTGGCAGCAACAAAGCCACAGAATGAAAGTTAATAACGAAAATTATAAAAGTCTTGATTCCTGAAGATTAACGGACTGCTCAAAGTTTTGCCAAAGTATTATAGCAAAAGATTTAAAAGTATGAACTGGTGTAAGTTAGCTGATCATAGTGACATCAGCCATGACAGCACTAGGCGATTACCTTTGGACATCTTGAGCTTTAACGAACAAATAAAATGAACCATTGGTTGCACTCACGGACTGAGTTTTTGCTTCCTAATAGTCAATCATTTGCTACAGACGCAAAGGCTGCTGGCAGACTTTTGGAGATGTTCAAGGAAGCAGAACAGATTCCAAAACAGAGACATTTGACAGTAGATTCCACATTGATCTGGAACAGTATTCTGCTGCAATAATAGTATGGTCACATTCTTGCACCAAGAATATTTTCTGTTATTGAAATAGGTGCCAGCCTTTGCTATGGTGGAACTTCCAATGGCCTCAAGAGGTTGTTGACTGAAGCTCCACTTGGGAGATTTGGCATGGCATCCCAGCCAAACTTCAGTGCTACATTGCCTGAGCTGCCACTAATTAGGTAGGACATTTAACATACATCCTCTGAAGTGGATGTAAAAATGTCCAAAAGCACAATTACAAGAGCAGGGGAGCGAATCTGGTGTGCTCACCAACATTTAGCTTTCAACCAACACCTAAAACAGATGAGAGTGACATTCAATTCACTGCTGCTTGTAGGACATTGCAGTATATCAATTGCCTGCTGAGTTCCTCACATTACAATAGCCTTTACATTTCAAAAATACTTAAACTGTTGTGAGGGCATGAACAAGAAACTACGAAAATATAACTTCTTTCTTTACTTTTACAGGAACAATGGAAGGGGTGAATCATGTTACAATGTGTCTACTAACTGATGACTTGTTGGTTTCTAAGCAATAACATATGAATTACAAAATATGCCGTACCTCATGAACTTCTCCAGTATCTCTTCCACCCACATCTGCAGACGTAGTAAACCAAAGCCGTATCGCCACCACATTTTAAACAGATCCTGGAGGTACCAATCAGTTTCTTCGAACACAAACTCTTCCCCATTGAAGAGTGCCACTTTCTCTGGAACACCTTTTCTGTGCTTCAGCCCTGGTACAGACAGAGAAGAGAGAGTAACAAAACAAATTAATACAGTAATAAACAATAAAACTTATTGAATTGTACGAGCCGTTTCTGGACCTCCAGCAGAGTGCATTTTGTGATAAAAACGTTCAGCTGGTTTAGACAGTGAATACCTGAATGATTCTGCTTAAATAGTTTCTGGTTTAATTTGTGGGTATGGCAGCAGAGGCCTCAACAGCACTGATTGGTATTGGTTCTTCTGGTTCTGGTTCTGGTTTGGTGAACCTTGTTGAAAATCTAATTGAAGCAAGACTGAGCGTGGGTGAAAGCCAGTTTTTCTGGTTTTGACATAAAGTCAATTGAAAATACAAATCTGTCTCTTTTTCCACATAGGTAGTAGGAACTGCCGATGCTGGAGAATCTGAGGTAACAAGGTGTACAGCTGGATGAACACAGCAGACCAAGCAGCATCTGGACCCGAAACATCAGCTTTCCAGCTCCTCTGATGCTGCTTGGCCTGCTGTGTTCATCTAGTTCTACACCTTGTTATCTCTTTTTCCACATAACCTGCTGGCTACATTTTCCCTTCCTTAACACTTTGCTTTCTTAGATTAGAAAACTCAGTTTTCTCCCTTGTTTATTATATACTCAAGGCTACATATCAATGCAGTTGCCAGATGGTCTCATCATGAAAGCATGGTTGAGTTCCAAAAAAATGGACAGTAGGGGACTCAGCTCGCAGGTACCTGTTCACACAACATAAAGTGGGGTGCCAGCTTTGTATCAGCTTTTCTATTATTATTCTTACATGGAATGTGGGCATCGTTGACAAGGTCAAATATTTGTTGTCCTACCCTAATTGCCCTAGAACTGATTGGTGTTGCAAAAGGCAGTTAAGAGTGTAGGATTAGTAGGCAAACTAATATTGCATGATTAATTTGGTTTTGTTACAATCACACAATCAATATATTCATTGATTAATCTGGTATTATAGTGTGCTACTCTAGCAATAGCCAATGCAGAGCTTAGAACTGTTACATCCTGTGACTTTGCTTAGCTCCATTTCATAGAATAACAGAATCTCTACAACGTGGAAGCAGGCCATTCAGTCCATCTAGTCCTCACCAATCCTCCGAATAGCATTCCACTCAGATCCACCTCCCTACCCTATTCCCGTAAGCTTGCTTTTCCCATGGCTAGTCCATTTAGACTGCATATCCCTGGACACTATGGGCAATTCAGCATGGCCAATCCACCTATTCTACACATCTTTGGACTATGGAAGGAAACCGGAGCAACCAGAGGAAACCCACACAGACACAGGGAGAACGTACAAACTCCAAACAGATGGTTACCCAAGGCTGGAAGCGAACCCAGTTCCCTGATGCTGAGGGACAGCAGTGCTAACCACTGAACCACTGTGCTGCGATTTGACGAGAAACATACCATAGGATTATGAACAGGGTGAAGACAATGAAATATTCAGACTTATAGTTGCAAGGCCGAGAGACATTTGTTTATTTTCAGATCTAGACTGCCAAGGTAGAAAAAGACACAGATGGTACCCTCCCTAGCTTGTTAGTCCTTAGCAGGGAATATTGACAGCAACATTCCATCTCAGCTATGCAGCAGCGTATGTGTGCAGCTCCAATGGTTCCACAGACCGACTTCGGAGGCCTGTGCAGCCAGAAAAAATTTTTAAAGGAATGCTGGTGACTAGCTCTTCGCTTTTGTATTGGTGCTTTCTAAAAAGCATAGAAATTAACTATAAGTAACCTTTGTTTTAAAGTTAAATTTGTAACAATAGATTTATGTTTGGGAAAGGAAACTGCTGTCCTTACCTGGTCTGGCCTTCATTTGGCTCCAGACCAGCAATGTGGTTGACACTTAACTGCCCTCTGGGCAATTAGGGATAGGCAATAAGTGCTGGCCTAGCTAGCAACACCCACATCTTGTGAATGAAGAAAAGGAAATGTCATACAGGAGGAATTCCTGAAGTGTGTTGGGAATGACTTTATGAATCAATATGTTGAGGAACCAACTAAAGAACAAGATATCCAAGGCTGGGTACTGTGTCATGAGAAAGGAAGACTGGCAATCCAGCAGTGCGAGGTCTCTAGGTGATCATAATTTGGTAGAATTCTTCATTAAGATGGAGAGTGACATAGTTGGGTCTTAGAATAGGATCCTAAATCTAAATAAAGGAAACTACAATGTATCGGGCATGGACTGACTATGACAATTTGGGAATTGTGACATAAAGGAATGTTGGTGTATCGGCAATGGCAAATATTTAGTGTGTCTATGAACTTCCTATGAAAAGGAATTGTTCATTCCTGACCATAAAAACAAAACAGGAAATGTGGCTCAACCATGGCTAACATGGGAAATTGGTGATTACATTAGATCCAAGGAAAATTATTCAAATTGGCCAAAAATGCAACAGACCTGAGGATTGGAAGCAGCTTAAATTTTAGCAAAGAAGGGCAAAGAGATTAATTAAGAAGGGAAAACAGAATATGAAGGTACACATAAACTGATTGTAAAAGCTTCTGTAAGTTTTTGAAGAGAAAAAGATTTGAAGAGTAGGTCTCTTACAGTCAGAAAGTTATAAAGTGGAACAAAGAGACAGCAGACCAATGAGATATATACTTTGGTTCTATCTTCACAAATACTGTCCCAACTACATTGGGAAACATAGGCTCTAGATAGAGGGAGGAACTGAAGGAAATGAGTATTACCAAGGACACGGCATTTGGGAAAATTTATGAGATTAAGGTTCAGTAAATCCCAAGGTCTGATAGTTTACATCCCAGGGTACGTAAGGAAGTGGCCCTTGAAATAGCAGATACATTGCTGATCATCTTTCGAGACGAACAGTGACAGGATCAGGCAGAGTCAGCATGGAGTTTTGACAGAGAAATCACGCTTGATAAATCTACTGGAATTTTTCGAGGATGTAAGTACTAGAATTGATAAGGGGCAGCCAGTGGATGTGGTTTACTTGAACTCTCAGAAAGCTCTTGATAAAGTCCCACACAAGAAATTAGCATGCAAAATTAAAAGTGCCTGGGATTGGGGATTGTGTATTGACATGAATACAGGACTGGTTGGCAGACAGGAAGCAAAGAGCAGGAATAAATATGCCTTTTTCAAAGTAGCAAACAGTGACTAGGGGGATACCACAATGATCAGTGCAGGGACTCCAGCTTTCACATTATATATTAATGATTTAGATGAGGGAACTAAACCCACTATCTCCAAACTCCAAGTTTGCAGCCAACACAAAGCTGGGTGGGAGATGTGCTGTGAGATGGATGTGGAGAAACGTCAGTGCGATTTGGACAAATTGACCTAAAGGGCTAATGAAGTATAATGTGGATAAATGTGAGGCTGCTCAATTTTATAGGAAAAACAGGAAGGCAAATTATCTGAATGGTGATAGATTGAGAAAGGGGAGTGCAACAAACCCTGGGTGCTCTTGTACAGCAGTCACTGGAAGTATCATGCAGGTGCAGCAGGCAGTGAAGAGGACAAATAGTATGTTCACCTTCATCATGAAAGAATTCAAGTACAGAAGCTGAGATGTCTTACTGCAATTATACAGGGCTTTCGTAAGACCACAATGGGTCCTGTGTGCAGTTTCAATCTCTTCACCCGAGGAAGGATGTTCTGGCTATGGAGGGAGTGAAACAAAGGCTTAAAAAACCAATTTCTGCAATGGCAGGTCTGACATATGAAGAGGGACTGGATCAGTTAGGATTCTTAAACTCCATTGAGTATAATGAGAGGGGAGCTCACAGAAATGTATAAAATTCTAACAGGACTAGACAGCGTAAACACAGGAAGGTTGTTTACAATGACTGGGGAGTCTAGAACTAGAGCCATTTATTGCATAAGGATTATGTGGCAGGCCATTTAGGACTGATATAAGAAGAAATTTCTTCACCCAGAGACTGGTGCTCCTGCGGACTTCTCTATCACAGAAAGTGGATGAGGCCAAAACACTGAATGCTTTCAAGGAGTTGTTTATAGTTCTAGGACTAAAGGGATCAAAGGGTATGGGCAGAAAGCAGCAACAGGGTACTGAGTCAGGTGATTGTATTGAATGGCAGAGCAGATTTGAAGGGCCAAATGGCCTACTCCTTCTCATATGGTTCCATGTGCCAAGGTTTACGAGATGTAAGTGTCACAGTTTTTACAGCATGGGAAAAGCCCTTCATTGTGTCTGCAATTATCAACCATCTTTCTATTCTAATCCAATTCCCTGCACTTGGCCTGTGAAAGCACAGTGCGGTAACCAGTCATGTATTTCATTACCAGTGCTAATGTCATGCCTAAAATTTAAACACAGCTTGGTAGTTAACTGCAAATCATCATTAACTGCTGCATTTTATGGCAACATCTCCACCAATCATACCCCACTTGCCAATAATCAGCACACTCTTTTCACAGATAAAATGTTGTCTTCCATTTACTTTTGTAATTCTTGCAAATGGTCTTGAGTGTAAGATAGGAGGTTTGATAAAATGCGTCTTTTTTCAGCAATAATCAAATTTCTCATGTTATTGTATCAAACTTCAAATATATTTAATTCTGGATTAATGCAGTTCTCAGCTTTTGTAGAATCACAGAATCCCTACAGTGTGGAAGGCAGGCCATTCAGCGCATCGAGTCCACACCAACTCTCCAAACAGCATTCCACCCAGACCCACACCTGTACCTTATCCCTGTCACCCTGCATTTCCCATGGTTAATCCACCAAGCCTGCACACCTCTGACCATTACAGGCAATTTAGCATGGCCAATCCACCTAATCTGCACATCCAAGGTCTGTGGGCGGAAACCGGAGCAAAACCGTCCAGACACAGGGAGAATGTGCAAACTCCACACAGCCCAAGGATGGAATAGCACCTGGGTCCCTGGCGTTGTGAGGCAGCAGTGATAACTGCTGAGCCACTGTGCCACTTAGCTCCTCATTGCTAAAGAAAACATGCTGAGTACTTTGGAAACTGAATTATTAAATATCATTTTACCTAAATGTTTAACAAAGTCTTGCATGTGAAGGTTGAGTGGGTGAATGACTGAGCCGCCAATCTCATATTGCTGACCATTTACAGTTACTGTTGCTAGTCGACCTCCAATAGTGCCCTTCTCGTAGACATCAATTTTAACATTAGGACCAAATTCCCGTCTAAGGAAATAGGCAGCTGATGATCCTCCAATTCCTGCACCAACTACAGCTGTGGAGAACAAAATGAAATGGAGTGAATAAAAGGAATCCCAATGTATAATATCTAGCTACTTATTTTGGTTATGTTTAAACACACATTGAAACAAAATCACTTTATTCATAACATTACATAGATTTTGACATTTTAGCAATCCACTTAAGTATTTTACGAACTCTTAATAATTGCAGCTGATCACAACACACTGTGAAAAACCAAAGGGAGGGCAGAAATAAAGAAAAATACTTAGAGGTGCATCAAATTTACACTCTTACCAAATGATTTTGAAGTTGCAAGCAAAACTGGTTCTACTATGGACTTGGATGAGTTTGATGTAAATCAAAACCAACCAGAAATTATTTAATATTCATACAATTGCTACACCATGTATAAATAAACATGCCTCCAATACAACACATCAGTTTAGATATTCTTTCAAACCTGTCTTATTGCCTCAAAATCTCATTTGGGAATTTTGCTGCAACTCTTCAAATTTCTTCTATGAATTGGGGAAGCATGATGATGTATTTTTATTACACAATCATCTGACTGCAGCAGGAATCAAAAAACATGAAATCCTAGCAATGTCACAGCTACCACTCAGGTCTTTGGCCTCACAAACCAGTTCAAACTACCCCAAATAGCATCTTTCAAATCGTGCTTAATCTGAAACAGAGGAATTCCATTTGATGTATTACAATGTACCAAAATCAAGCTAATTTAGGCACAATGATGCACTTCTCATTTCCAACATCTCTACAGCGTTTTTGCAATGGATGCGACTTAGTCTCATTTTTCTTGGATTCATGAAACTGCATATGTTTGCGGCAAAATGCATTAGTTTTTGCCAGGGGACGTTACTTCGACAGCAATTCTCGGTAAAAAGATCTGAGAATACCATCTGTACAAGCTGAAATAATATAAACATCAAGCATGTTACTACTCGGCAGTTAAATGACTTTTAAACACCAATCTTACCTATTTTTTTAGGGGGCGGTTCTTCCTGGTGGCTTAGAGTGACTGCGATTCTGAGCAATAAAGTACAAGTCAGCAGAACACCACCAGCCATGTTGCACAAAGCTGAAACTCAATGTCCGATGCACAGTGACTAACAGGACGAGAGGTGCCCCAAGCCCGTTGACAGTAAAAAGATGCAGCAACAGGGAGATCGCGTTACTGTGGAGCAGACATACAGCAGCTATCTTTCCCAGCGCTCCTCCGCCGTGGGCTGACCCTGCACAGGCGGTCCCTCCAAACACCTGGAACCGGATCACAACCTGAACTCAGCACGAGCGACAAAAGTTTCATAGGCTTGGGTTCACCCCCGTCCCCGGAGTTATTTTGTTCAAAAGTGGGAGAAAATGAAAGGGAATGCTTCCCACCCCCCTCCAACCCCGGTTGGCGGAATTCCTTCGTCTCATGCATACTCAGTCCGGTTTAATCAGGTGATTCCTGTGCCGGGTTTTGCGGCATCCCGCACCATTGCCAAAGACTGTGGCAGAAAGGCACATGCGCGGGCCCTGAGCCGGAAATTGAGGGTTCAATGGCTCATTCTTTTTGTAATGAATGGCCAAGGTTCACGCTTTAGACAAGACCCACTTTCAGGTTCAAATCGTCCCCTTCTAATTTTGGGGATCTGCGACAAGTAAACTTTAAGAGATTTTAATTGGTCTACGTCTGCACGAATGGATCACACAATTGCTAATACAATACATATACAACCAGGGCGAAAATAACATGCACAGAATCGTTTCAGAGATAGTAGGAACTGCAGATGCTGGAGAATCGGACATAACAAGGTGTAGAGCTGGATGAACACAGCAGGCCAAGCAGCATCAGAGGAGCAGGAAGGCTGACGTTTCGGGCCTAGACCCTTCTTCAGAAAATGGAGAATCGTAATGGGGCAGAAGCAGGAAATTCTGTCCATCATGCCTGCGCCGGTTCTTCCAATGAGCATCATTATAAGAGTCATTCAGCATAGAAACTGACCCTTCGGCCCAACTCGTCCATGCCGACGAGATTTCCTAAACTGAACTAGACCCTTTTGCTTGCGTTTGACCCGTATCCCTCTTAAACTTTTCCTATCCATATACCTATCTAAATGTTGTAATTGTACTCGCCTCTACCACTTCCTCTGGCAGTTCGTTCCATTTATGTACCACCCCCAGTGAAAAAGTTGTCACCCAGGTCCCTTTTAAATCATTCCCCTCTCATTTTTAACTTCTCTAGTTTTGAATTCCCCTACCCTGGGGAAAAGAACTTGGCTATTCACCTTATCTATGCCCTTCATGGTTTTACATGCTTTCAGTTTAATAACATTCTTCAGATCAGAATTATATGCAGTACTACAAATATGGCCTTACCGATGTCTTGTACAACCATAACCTGACATGCCAACTCCTGTATTCAATGCTCTGATCGATGAAGGCAAGCATGTCAAATGCCTTCTTCACCACCCTGTCTATCTGTGATGCCACTTTCAAGGATCTATGTATCTGACCCCTAGATCTCTCTGTTTGACAACACTGCCCAGGGCCCTACCAATAACTGTGTAAGTCCTTCTCTAGTTTGTCTTACCAAAATGCAACACCTCACATTTATCTAAATTAAACTCCATCTACCATTCCTTGGCCCACTGGCCCAGTTGATCAAGATCTGTTGTATTCTTAGATGACCTTCTTCACTGTCTGCTCACACCAATTTTGGTGTCATTCACAAATTTACTAACCATGACCCCTGTATTCTCATCCAAATCATCTATATGAATGACGAACAACAGTGGACACAGCACCAATCCTTGCGGCACACCAGTAGTCACAGGCCTCCAGACTAAACAACAATCCTCTACCACCACCCTCTTTCTCCTACCAACAAACAAATTTTGTATCTAGTTAGCTAGCTCTCCCCGGATCCCATGTGATTTAACCTTACTAACCAGTCTACCATGTGGAACCTTGTCAAAGGCCTTGTTAAAGTCCACATAGACACATCTACCACTCTACCTTCATCTATCTTCTTGGTCGCCTCTTCAAAAAGCTCAATCAAGTTTGTGAGACATGATTTCCTATGCACAAAGCTATGCTGACTATCCCTAATCAGTCCTTGCTTTCCAAATGCATGTAGATCCTGTCTCTCAGAATCTCCTGCAACAACTATCCACCACATTGTCAGGCTCACTGGTCTGTTGTTCCCTGGCTTTTCCTTGCAGCCTTTCTTAAATAATGGCACAATGTTTGCTACCTTCTTAGCACCTCACTCGTGGCTATTGATGATACAAATATCTCTGTCAAGGGCCCAGCAGTTTCTTTCCTAACTTCCCACAATGTCCTGGGATACATGTGATCAGGTCTCAGGGATTTATCTGTCTTTATGCGTTTTAAGACCGCCAGCAAATTCTCTTCTGTAATGTGGACTCTTTACAAGCTGTCACCACTTATTTCCCTGAACTCCCTAGCTTCCATGTCTTTCTCCAGAGTAAATACTGATGTGAAATATTCATTTAGGATCTCAACCATCTCCTGTGGTTCCACACATAGACGTTCTCATTGATCTTTAAGTGATCTTATTCTTTCTCTAGTAACTCTTTTGCTTTTAATATATTTAATTATTTGCCCTGAAAATCTAGTGCCAATCTCTGTCTTTTCTCTCACATGCTACTTGTATCGAAAAATCATCCAACGCCCTCAATTGGAATGTCTCAATTGAACCTGCCTCTACCACATTTCCAGATAGTGCATTCCATACATTAAATGTGTTGTAACTCACTGTATGGAAATGTTTTTTCCTCACATTAACCTTGCTTCTTCTCCACATCACTTTAAATCTACACCCTGATGTTCTTGTTCCCTTTACAAATGAGAACAATTTAGTCCCTATCTATTCTATTCAGCCCATTCATGATTTGGAAAACCTCAATCAAGTGTCCTGTCAGCCTTCTCCTCACCAAGGAATAGAGTCCTATCTTCTTCAATCCATTCTCATAACAGAAGTTTCTCATGCCTGGAACTATCCTTTTAAATCACTTCTGCATTCTGCAGCGCACTCACATCCTTCCTATAATATGGTGGCTACAAGTGCACACAATATTCTAGCTGAGATCTATCAAGTGTCTCAACCAAGTTCAACATCACCTCCTCTTTCTTGTACTCTATGCCCCTACTAATAAAGCTGAGGACACTGTAGATATTTTTAAACAACCTATCTAGATATGGGATGACACACCTCTAAAGCAAATTGGACTTGAACAAGGCCTCCTGATCCAGAGGTATGAACAGTGCAACTCAGCCACAAGTCCTACAAAACATGAAATATTTTCATAGTAGATATTTTTTCATCAATGTGCTCAGAGATTTTATTACACAGATGGGACTGGAATCCAGGACACTAGGCTCAGAGGTAGGGACACCACCACCGCACGAGTGCCCTCAACTGTATAACTGCTCTTTCCATCTGTCCTTAACCTTCATTGATCTGTACACATGTATGCCCAGTTTCCTCTGCTCCTGCACCCTCCTTAAAATACACCCTCTATTTTATGTTGTTTCTCAATGTTCTTCCTAGCAAAACACACCATCTCACACCTCTCTGCAATGAACATCATCTGTTCCTATCCACCCACTCCACCAACTCGTAAATGCTCTATTGGAGTTCCACACTATCCTCCTCTCAGTTTACAATTCTTCCAAGTTCATGTCATCTGTAACCTTGGTAATTGTTTCCTACCCACCAAGATTCAGATCATTTATAAATATCTAAAGTTTTAGAGTAGATTTGTAGCTCAGGTTGTGGATGTTGTGGTTGGTTGGCTCGCCGAGCTGGTTCGTTGTCCTGCAGACGACCTGGTACTCCACGAAGAAAGCCATCAACAAACACATAGAACTCGACCCCATATTCACTGCATTGTGAAGGAAAACCAGAAGGGAGGTAATCCAGCTCAACAGACTCCAGAGTTTAAATACCAGGTGGGAAAACACAACTGCGCTTCATTGGAGGCTGCACTGATGATGTTATCCAGCAGGGTAATGAAACGTCTGTGGAACAACGGACCAGCTCGGCAAGCCAACCAACCACAACATTTATAAATATATCAGGAAAAGCAAGGGTCCCAATACCAACCCTTGTGGAGCTCCACTATAAGCTTTCCTTCAGCCTAAGAAATATCCATTGACCAGTACTCTCGGCTTCCTATCACTCAGCCAAATGCACTTTTCTACTGTCCTCTTCATATCATAACCTATAACTTTCCTCACAAGTCTGTTCGTGGCACTGTCTCAAACACCTTCTGTAAATCCATTTGGTTCATGTACGACTGTTACTCAAGATCCTTTAGAATGCAGATCAAAAATTAATAGAAATTTCTTCATACCAGACATCATGGTATAAAGACTATCGACTTGGAATTCCATCAGCCTGATTTAATTCTTGGAACTTTCATGAAAAAGTTTTCCAAAGAGACGAGAAACACTGACTTAAAATGCCCACAGAAATCACCTGATCCATATGGGTTGGTCAAGCTTCATGAAACCAAGTGGGATGAAACAAAAGACAACCTGACCTGAATTTAATATTTCATCCAAAGTTAATTAAAGCAGTGAACCCCATCCTGGGGCAGGTGTGAAAAAGCTCTTAGGCCCCATGTGATTTATACATCATGAGAATCTTCAAATATTGGAGATGGAAGCTCACCTACAATTATCATACCTAGAAAAACAATTTTAAAAAGCAGATAGGCAATGTACAAACAAAATGCTATTTCAAGAGGTTTTTTCCTTGGCAAAAGAAGAAGAAACTATAAAGTTAAATCAGGCTGGAAAAGGCTTTCTTTACATCTTAAAACAAAAAACCCAGTGACAACACTGGCTGGAGAGAAACATCAGGGTATCAAGAACTTTAAAAATAACAGCAATAGTTGTTACTGTTCTCAGACAGACCCAACTAACCAATTGTGGTCTCAGGTCCAATCCATATATTTGTTTATACTGGACACTATCACCCATTAGGTTACTAGCTGTGTGCGTGTGTGAGGGCAGCAAGTGAGTGCATGAACTCCATAACATCACTTTGTATCTATCATTTTTCTCAGGGGTAGCAGGTAATAAACCTTCTCTTTCTCTCATAAGAAAACCTTGGGGTTTGCTCCTTACTGCTGTTGAAAAAGAATAGTTAGCCACGTTTTAATTGGTGAAGGGGGATAGCTGTATTCCAAAAGAGATCTTAAATCTTTGTTGTGACCAATTGGCCTAAAGGAGAGCATTTCACCCCTCCCA